GAACTGTGGTATTGGAAAAGACGCTTGAGAGTCCCTTGGACTGCAAGGAGATCCAATCAGTCTATCCTAAAGGAAAAGAGTCATGAATATTCATTGGAAGGACTGATGCTGAAGCTGAAATTCCAATACTTTGATCACCTGATGTGAAGAACTGACTCAATAGAGAAGACCCTGGTGCTGGGAAAGATCGAAGGTGGGAGGAGAAGGGGATGACAGAGGATGAGATGGTTGGATGGCATCACTGACTCAGTGGACATGAGTTTGAGTAAGCTCCAGTTGTTGATGATGGAGAGGGAAGCCTGGTGTGCTACAGTCCATGGGGTTGCAAAAAGAGTCAAACACGACTGAGCAACTGAACTGAACTGATACTGCTGCTTGGGCCAAAAAAGGTGCCAGTGCCTCCAGGAGCAGTGTTACCTATTTAGACAGGCGTGTGAGAGGGTTGTGGTTTCTGTAATATGAGCTGTGTACAGAATTCACATGAAAAATGGTACTTCTGCACATCTAGGTCAAGCTGCAGTTATCACTCTTGATTTACCTACTAGGAGGTTCTTACTCATAAATGGTTTCAATTGTAGGTGTGAAAGGTGATCATCAGAAAGCAACCAGAAAAAAAAAAAAAAACACACCCAGAAATGACTTTGATCTTAATCCTTGCCTTGAGGCTGTTTGTTCAGTATTTGTTTACTGGCTGCCTGGTACATTTCATATGTTGAGGCAGGCCAGGATAGGGGCGTCCCAGGTGGCTCAATGGGTAAAGAATCCACCTGCAATGCAGGAGATGCAGCAGAAGAAGGTTCAGTCCCCAGGTCCAGAAGATCCCCTGGAGAAGGAAATGGCAACCCACTCCAGTATTCTTGCTTGGGAAATCTCATGGACAGAGGAGCCTGGCAGGCTGCATTCCATGGGGTCTCAAAGACACTACTGAAGTGACTTAGCATGCATAGCATGCATGCATGGTAGGCTCAGGGCCACAGAGGAAAAACATCAGTCCCTGCTCCCAGAAGCTGAGGTCTCGCTAAAGAAAAGAGATGGATGAAAGGAGTTAAAGGTGGTTACAATTCCTTTGTGATAAATAAATGCCTTAGAGGTGAGCACTAGATATGTAAGGAGGAGGAGAGGGCCCCAGAGGGCTTTTCAAAGGAGTTAACTCTTGAGCTGAGTTTGAAGTTTGCCACATGAAGGTGGGTTTTGAGGGGTGGTTAAGCTATACCGAGGATCAGGGGCAGGTTGAAGAGGCAACATTTAAAAAGATAAATGTCACCCACCACCCTCGGCAGTGAAAGTGCAGAGTCCTAACCACTGGGTTACCCTTAAAGAGGTAAATGGTTTTGGTGTGACTGGATTAGGGGTGAGAATGGAGTGTTTGTTTTAAAATCTCTGTTCATTCACAAATCTTTTTATTTATTTATTTATGGCTGTGCTGCGTCTTTGTTGCTGAGCACAGGCTTTCTCTAGTTGAGGCGAGTGGGGATTCCTCTTCCTTGCAGTGCGTGGGCTTCTCCCTGCAGTGGCTTCTCATGTTGCAGAGCACAGGCTTTAGGCACACAGGCTTCAGTAGTTGTGGCACACGGGCCTTGTTGCCCCGCAGCATGTAAAATCTTCCCAGACCAGAGATCGAACCTGTGTCCCCTGCATTGGTGGATGGATTTTAACCAACCACTAGACCACCAGGGAAGTCCCAAAAGGAATAGTTTGAGTCGGGGGTTGTGGAAGATGGGTCTGGAGAGGTAGTCTGGGGCTAATTATAAAGGTCTTTGTATGTAATACTTAGAGGTTTGGGTTTTGTTATGAAGGTGTTAGAAGTTATTAAGCCCTGCTTAATAAAGACCTGCTCAGATCTGCGTTTTCTTCCAGCAGCTGGCAGAATCCACTGCAGGGGATGAGAATGGCTGCAGGAAATCCCTGAGTGTGCTTTCCAGGCATATTAAGGGCCTAAACTAAGGCATAGCAGTAGGGATGGGGAGATGGTCAGGTATAAAAATACTTAGGAAAGAGGATTTCTAGGACTTTGGGAACATGGGAAGACAGGAAAACAATCCAGCTGTCACCTGTTAGGATGAGTGACAAGGGATTGGAGGTCTGAGGTTGGAAAAAGAGCAGTGGGAGTAGGGAAGCAGGAGAAGAGGAAGGGCAGGAAGCTGTGGCCAGAGAGGGAACCCTGGGCTGTGCGATGGTGAACTTGGTAAAGAGCTGCTGACAGCCAACTTCCGTGCCAGATTCAGGAGAGAAGAGATTCCGAGAAGGCTGCCCTGTGGCTGGAAATTCCCCCAACGGCGCCTTAAAGTTTCCATACATGAAGTCATGAATGATGACGTTCCAGTTCTTGCTGGACTGAGCCCTGAGAGAGATGTGGGGTGGAGGGATCAACAAGATATAGGTCAGCAAAGTGGTTTCCCAGTTTGTACACTATCTGCTCTGGATGGAAGTGGAGTCCGCAGGGACAAACCACTTGTTCCCCGAGAGAGAGCCTGGCGGAGTCCTCAGAAAGGACTGGCATGCAGGAAGAGCCTAAGTGTGATTCCTGAGTTTGCCTTTGTCATGAAGTTTTTCTTTTTTTTCTATGAGTTTTTCTTTTTTTTAACTTTATAGATGAAGTAAGACCCAAAGAGAGGAAGTAACACAGGAAGATGATGGTAGAGCTAGACTTCAACTTAAGTTTCCTACTGCTTACATTTAACCACTGGGTATCCGCTATGTACCTTTACTGCTCCAAGTCCCTGTAAAGGAGCATAAAGATGACAAAGTCCTTATCTCATACAGCTTACATTTTAGTGGAAATAGCATCCAATAAAAAAAAATGAATACAGATGTATAAGATTTGATATCAAATGGGATTAGTACTAAGGCACAGTCTTACCCTCCGTAAGCTTACAGGCTAATGGGAAGACAACACACAGCCGTCAAGGCTGTGATAGGAGAAGGACAGGGAGCTATGGGAACATCCATGTCAAAGCATGTGAACCAGTCTGGGAGGAGTCAGAGAAGGCTTCTTAGAAGAAATGGCCTCTAAGATGTGCCCTACACCAGGGGTTGGCTAACTATAGTCCCCTGGGCCAGAGCTGCATGCTGCCTGCTTTGGTACAGCCCATGAACTAAGAATAGTTTCTACATTTTTAAACATTTTGAAAAGAACTAAAAGAATAATATTGTGTGACATGTGGAAATTATGCAGTATGTAAACACCAGTGACCATAAAGTTTTCTTGGAATACTGCCATGCTTATAGTTGCTTTAACACTCTAATGGTAGAGTTGAATAGTGGCAGAGGCTATGAGGCCTGCAAAGCTAGGACGTTAACCCTCTAGCCATTTACAGAAAAAGTTGTTTGCTAGCTCCTGGCCACAGGATGGGTAGGAGTTAGCCGCGTAAAGCAGAGTGAGGAAGAAGGAAGTCTGCTTCCGGTGGGATCGTTGTATAACTGCAGTAACTTTAGTATAGTTGGACTACGGCGTTCAAGGAGATGGGGGCTGTGGTGAGTGATGTGGCTGGAGCGTTGGATGGGAGCCAGACTGAGAAGACACTTGGCACCTGTATTAAGGGGTTGGATTTATCCAATGGGGAGCTTTTAAAAGGTGTTATGCCATGTTATCAGATTTTCAAAAAATCCTCTGGCTACAGTGTTGAGATTGGATTAGAGAGGGTGGGGTGAGAGAGGAGGCAGGGAGATTAGTTGAGGTCTCTCTCAACTAATTCCAAGGAATTGTTGGTAACCTAGACTAGTAGAGAGATATTGGAGAATATATTGACTTGAGATGCAATTTAGGAAGCAGAATTGAAAGCCCTTGGTGATTGATTAAGGCATTGAAATGTAATTATTTTCATGTTGCGAATGACTGTGTTTTCTTTCTCAACTCCAAAGTTGTTTTTTTTTTTCCCCATTGCTGTGAATGCATGGTTGACAAATCCATGTTTAGTAACAGCCTTCAGAGCAGAATTCCTCGGCGACGCTTCACGCCCGCAGCGCCCCATGCACCTTGTGTATCAAAGCAGCATCTCTATGACCTCTCCACGCAGCTCCCTGTTGACAAGGAATCTGGCTTTTAAGGAGCAAAGAAGCAGTAAACTGGCAGGCTGATTTCCCTTTTCTGGTCTCCCTTGGTTTGACGCTTCCCCAGAGTGCCTCTTTGTTGCCAGGCCTTGGGCTCCTTGGCTTCAGGGCAGTTTGTTGACAGTGACAAGAGCCACTCATGTTCTAGAGCACTTAGGACCTTCCCGGTTTTCCTTCTCTCACCCTTGCCTTCTTGGTCCTTGAAGCTGAAGTCTCACTCACAGTAAATGGTAGTAACATCACTACATTATATTTCATAATATATTGTGTGGTTTTCAAAGTGCTTACTCACATGCCAGCTATTTTATCCCCACAATACATCTATGAGGAAGGCAGGACAGGTCAGGTTACTGAGATCAGGGGACGTCAGATGGTTGCCCAAAGTCAAAAGATTAAAAAATAGCAGAGCTGATGATACAGTTTAGGTCTGCAGATTTCTTAGCTTTGTTCCTTCTGTAATGCATTCCATCTCCAAGAAAAGCGGTTGGACTAGTTGGGAGAGTTGTGTTTTCAGCCCTAAAGGCATCTGGATGAAATACCTCCCGCCACCACCGCACCTGCCTCCCCACCCGGCACCCTGTCCTGGACCTGCTCTGTGGGAGCTTCATACAGACACTAGTTTAGGCCTTTCCTATGCCTTCAAGCAATATGTAAACCACGACTCATTCCCAGACCAAAGTTTGAGAAGCTGTGGTCTGTATGGGAGAGCAGCAGTCCCTAACCTTTTGGCACCAGGGACCAATTTCATGGAAGACAATTTTTCCAAGGGCCAGAGGGTAGGGAGATGGTTTCTCCCCGCCCCTGATGATTCAAGTGCATTACATTTATTGTGCACTTTATTTCTATTATTACATCAGCTCCACTTCAGATCATCAGGCTTTAGACCCCAGAGGTTGGGGACCCCTGTATTAAAGCATATGTATGCTTTCATTCCTTCCCTTTCCCCACAGGTGGTTCTTCCTCTGATGAGCTGAGACCAAATGGGAAGGGCCTGCCTGTGGACCAAAGCTCCTGGGGTCAGAATAAACCAGAAAACTCGCTTTCAAGGTAACGCAGCTCTCCCTTCACTTGTGCCTCTTGGGGCTGTGCTTTTCCTCACTGAAGAGCTGAGGCCACTACTGTGCATAATGTACGTTGTCCCACAGTCGCTGGCCTCGGACATGGTAGACTTTTATTGAGCATTTACTATGTAATGTGCCACGCATCATACACTTACATGGATTATCTTCCCTTAACCTAAGAGGTAGGTACCATTATTTTCTCTGGTTCACAAGTAGGGAAACAGGTGAAAAAGAGATGTTATTTAACTCACCCAAGATCCAGAACTAGCAGGTGGCAGATCTAGGATTCAAAACTAACCCTACCTTGGAAATGTAGATTAGAAACATTCGATTTCTCCCTCTCATTCTTTTAGAAGTTTCTTCACTCTGGAGATAACTTCTCTTCCCCTCGTTTTTATTTACTCCTTTCTTTTTTCTAATGGCGTTATATTTAGTGTATACTCCAGTTCCCCCTACCGATCATAGCTGGAATCATCTGGTCAAGATAAAAGCTTCCATGTGTCTGGCTTCCCACCTGGCTCAGACGGTAAAGAATCTGCCTGCAATGCAGGAGACCTGGGTTCCATCCCTGGGTTGGGAAGATCCTCTGGAGAAAGGAATGGCAACCCACTCCAGTACTCTTGCCTGGAGGAGTCCATGGACAGAGGAACCTGGTGCACTACAGTACATGGGGTCACAAGGAATCAGACACAGCTGAGTTACTAACACTTTCACTTTAAATTATGCACCTAAATAGCAATGAACAATCCCTGCGCTTTAAATGTAGCTAAACCTTCATTCTCAACTCAGTTTTGAGTCTTCCTGATACATATAGATGCATTTTTACATAGCCTTCATTAGTATGTATTAATACATGACCATCTAATATTAAGCATTTAAATGGCATTTATTCAATGTCAGAAATTGTCTCAAGTGTTTTATATAATATATCTTAGTTCATTAAGTAATTTCAACAAAAGGTTTTTCAGCATTTATTACGATTCTGTTATATAAATATGTCAAATTTTCCTTAACTTTATTTTTCTTTAATCTTAAATGTTGGCATTTGAATAATTTTTAGTATGGCTATGAAAACTACACAAATAATAATAAAATATAAATTTTTACTGATTTTCTTTTTTATTACAGATTATTCCTGTGGAATAGAGATTGAGTAGAATTATCAAGTCAAAAGATCTAGACAGTTCTATAGCCTTGTTACGTGAGACCCAGAGTCCAGAAAGAGCACTGGCTAAACTGAGTTCTAATTCACAGTCTACTGCCGTCCAGCCTCATGAATCATTCATGATGCTGGGTCTCATATTTCTCATTTGAAAAATGAAGGGTTAGATTAGATTATCTTCCAGGTTTCCTTCTGGTCTAAGATTCTATAAACTTAATATCTCTGGATCAATGCACTATATAATCAACAACATATAAGGGGGCTTCCCTGGAGGTCCAGTGGTTAATACTCTGCATTTTCACTGCAGGGGGCTTGGGTTCAATTCCTGGTCGGGGAACTAAAATCCTGCATGTTGTGTGGTTTGGCCAAGAAAAATATGATAAAAACTTATTTCTTTCTCTGTTCTTCTTCCCCCCCTTTTTTCTTAGGCCCATGGGCTTAGTTGCTCCACAGCATGTAGGATCTTCTGGGATCAGGGATCAAATCGGGGTCTCCTGCATTAGCAGATAGATTCTTTGCCACTGAGCCACCAGGGAAGCCCTGATAAAAACTTTCTATAAAAACATTTTTTTGTTGTTGTCTTTCTAGACAGAACAAGTCCAAATCTGAAATAACCAACATGGTTCGCTCCTCCACTATCACAGTATCAGACAAGGCTCACATTTTATCCGTGCAGAAGTTTGGACTGCGAGATACAATCGTGAAATCACATCTAATACAGAAAGAAGAGGATTATACCTACATCCAGAACTTCAGGTAGCTCGCTGAATCTTAGACTGTTTCCACAGCAAAGTGATCGCTCAGCTCTCTGAAATAGAAGGGCTTCCTCTGTACCCTACAAAATCGCTCCCATCATTTTCTGAATGAGTGATTCCTTTCACTCTTCCTTAGCAGGCATTTATTCTGTGCCTTTTCTGGCCAGGCATCGTGGGAGGTGTGGTGTGGTGGGAATGACACAACTTGCAACAAACAGTTGTAGAAATATTTGAAGAGATACCCCTGTGTGGAAGAAGGAGAGAGATCGTGATTTTTGGTTATGCCTCTGTGTATCTCTTGGTCATTTGGGGCTTTTGAAGAAAGTTGTTTGAATTGAAATTAATCACATGAAGTTAGTGATTGGTAATCTTTTTAGACAAAATGACTGAAAGTTACATGAATAAAGGGTGCCAGTTTTCCAGGTCTTTTTAAATCACTGCATTTGGACTATAAGACAAAGTAATGTTGCTTCTCAGGATCTAGATAGTGAATTGTCTTAGGGAGTTTGGGAGGACATGTACACACTGTTCTATTTAAAATGGATAACCAATAAGGACCTGCTATATAGCACATGGAACTCTGCTCAATGTTATGTGGCAGCCTGGATGGGAGAGGAGTTTGGGGGAGCATGGATGCATGTATATGTATGACTGAGTCCCCTTGCTGCTTACCTGAAACTATCACAGCATTGTTAATCGGCTATACCCCAATACAAAATAAAAAGCTTCCAAAAAATTAAAAAAAAAAATACAAAATCGGACAACAGCGAACAACAGAAAAAACCCTAGTGAATTATCTGAACACTGGTATTGCTTTCGTTCCAAAAGTAGTTGCCAGGGTACTTTTCTTTTCTTTTTTCATTTCAGTAGCACATACAGTACATAGTCATTTTGTGGATTGTGGCTCTCTAATGGCTATTAGAGCTAAGTAGAAACGTTCAAAGTGGGTCTCTACTGTCTGAAGTTATCACAAAAGCAACAAATGTCACGCTAGACTGCAAGTCACCCCTTGGTGCCACAGTCACTTGACTAGCAGAGCTGTGATGTTTCTTAAGTCTTCATATTCCAGCCCAGAGAAACTGAAACCAGCCAGAATCAGCATCTAGCACTCTCCCCATCATGTCCATAGTCCTCCCAAGTGATCAATTGATTGTCTTTGGCAACAGATTTTTTGTAGGAACGTACAATGTGAACGGACAGTCCCCCAAGGAATGCCTCCGGCCCTGGCTCAGCCATGATACCCAGGCCCCAGATGTGTACTGTGTGGGGTGAGTGCTTCTCTTCTAGTTGTCTCTGCATTTTCCAGAGTGTGTCGCTGTGGTTGAATCTGTAAATGAGACTTTGCAGCAGGTGAAGAGATTGAAAAACGAGCATATGCTTAATAACAGCTGCTCCTCTGTTCTGCGTGCTTCCTCATAGTAAACACATTTCTGGCACTATTAAAGTGATGTGCCTGGCACTGGAATGTAATATTTAATTTTGAGTGCAACCCTCTGTTAAAAGCATGCACCTTGAACTGAATTTCATTACTTAGACATTCAACACTTTGTTGGTCACAAAGCAGAAATATCTTTTGTGAGGGAGAGGTTAGCTTAAAAGGAAAAAAAAAGGCCCCATCCAAGGACTTCCTTGGTAGTCCAGTAGCTAAGACTCTGTTCTCCTGAGGCAGAGGGCCTAGATTCAATCCCTGATTAAGGGACTGGATCCTACAGGCCACCTTGAAGATCCTTCATGCCACAACTAAGACCTGAAAGTGAAAGTGAGAGTCACTCAGTCGTGTCCAACTCATAGTCCGCGGAATTCTCCAGGCCAGAATACTGGACTGGGTAGTCTTTCCCTTCTCCAGGGGATCTTCCCAACCCAGGGATCAAACCCAGGTCTCCCGCATTGCAGGTGGATTCTTTACCAGCTGAGCCACAAGGGAAGCCCAACTAAGACCTGGCACAGCCAAATAATTAAATATTTTAAAAGGGAGGGCCCCATTCATCAGTCTTTTTCTTTTCCACACCTACTATCTTCTTACCACTGTACCAAATATTGTTGTTTGGAAGAGAGCAGCAAAGAAGTCTGGGCGGTAACGTGTAAAGGGACTAGAATTTGGAGTTTATATAGAGCTAGGTTTCAATCTCGGAGAAGGCAATGGCACCCCACTCCAGTACTCTTGCCTGGAGAATCCCATGGACGGAGGAGCCTGGTAGGCTGCAGCCCATGGGGTCGCAAAGAGTCGGACACGACTGAGTGACTTCACTTTCACTTTTCACTTTCATGCATTAGAGGAGGAAATGGCAATCCACTCCAGTATTCTTGCCTGGAAAATCCCAGGGACGGCGGAGCCTGGTGGGCTGCCGTCTATGGGGTCACGCAGAGTCAGACATGACTAAAGCGACTTAGCAGCAGCAGCAGGTTTCAACCTATTTGCCACCTGGTGCTTATGTGAGCTAGTGATCTCGGATGTAAAACGGAGACTCTTCCAAGTACTTCAGGCTCGTATGAAGACGAAAAGGGCCACTGCTTGGAAAAGCACCTGGTAAGTTCCTGGGCCTTTAGTCCTTTGTCTCTAAGTGTTTGTTTTTCTTCCTCTTTGAGGGTCCTGCAGTTTAGCTAGAGAGGTAGGCCTTACACAGCTTAACCAATCTGAGAATGTGCCATCTCCCACATTACCCTTCTCTACTCCCTGACTGGTTACTTCTCCTAATAGGTTCCAGGAGCTTGATCTGAGTAAGGAAGCCTTTTTCTTCCATGATACCCCAAAGGAGGAAGAGTGGTTTAAAGCTGTATCAGAGGGTCTTCATCCAGATGCCAAATATGCAAAGGTATGAGAGGAGCCCAGGACCTTCTGACTTTGTGTTGCCATGCAGGGAAATGCTAAGACAACTTTTCACTTTTGCTGCGACTTTCATCAAAAGCCAGCCCTAATGGGTGGTGGTCCCTTCCCTGGTGGTCCGGAGCTTGAGACTCTGCCTGCCAATGCGGAGGACACAGGTTCGATCCCTGGTCCAGGAAGATCCCACATGCCTCGGGGCGAGTAAGCCCATGAGCCACAACTGCCGAGTCCACACACCACAACTACGGAAGTCTGCATGTCTTGAGCCTGTGCTCCACAGAACCACCGCAATGAGAAGCCCGCACACTATAACAACGAGTAGCCCCCACCTCGCAGCAACTAGAGAAAGCCCCTGCACAGCAGTGAAGACACAGCCTGCTAGAAAGGAAGGGAGGAAGGAAGTCCTATTGATGCTGTGATGTTAGTTCCAGGAGAGGCATCTCAGGCACCGTAACCTTGGCAGCTGTAGGCTGCTGAGGTTGTCACAGAGTGTGCTCAGTGAGCCGCTTGGGTAACTCCCCTGTCTCCTGGTGTGGAGCAGGAGATGCAGAAATCCTCGCAGCCAGCTTCCCGTCCACTTTTCCTTCCAACTCCCCATTAATGCCATGACTTGAATGCGTGCCTCTCTTCCAGGTGAAGCTCATCCGACTGGTCGGGATTATGCTGCTGCTGTATGTCAAACAGGAGCATGCCGCGTACATCTCAGAAGTGGAAGCTGAGACAGTGGGGACAGGAATCATGGGAAGAATGGTGAGTTCCTGGTTGATACAGGGAGGGCCTTGGTCCCTAAGGTCTTGAGCCTACTTCTCATGATACCACAACTACCTGTGTCCCAGCTTGAGGGTACTGGCATCATGAGATGAACTGTCCCCTCATGATCTAGCAGGGCTTGATGGAGGAGGCCATTCCAAAATCGTGTTTTAGTGACTTACTGGCTGATTTGCTCAGTTAGCCTGCATCCTCCCAGCCGCTCCACTGGAGCCTCCAGTGGGTCCTTCCATTTAATGCATGACCCATGTCGCAGAAGCTGTATTAGATCACCAATGAAAAGAAAGAATGCTAATAATAGGTTTGCCGTTTTTCTTCTGGAAGCTGTTAAAGTCCTCCTTTTAGGTTCTACTTCAAAGCTTAGCTTCCTGGGGGGAGGAGAGTGTGTGGCTTGCCTGTGATCTATTGCAGAATGGACTCGTCTTCACCACTTGCCACCTGGTCCTTCTGTCTTCTTGCATTTGTTTTCCCACCTATAAATATGTAACCCTGCTTTCCTCATGTCCCAGGATTGTGACACAGACCGACTAAAAGAGAACATTTTGAAAGCCCGCGGGTTTGAATGACTATCACAGTGAAGTTGGGAACTGTGCCTTTTCTGGGCTCCGTTTCACAGGGTAACAAAGGGGGCGTGGCCATCCGGTTCCAGTTTCACAACACCAGCGTCTGCATGGTCAATTCCCACCTGGCAGCCCACACGGAGGAGTACGAGAGGAGGAACCAGGACTACAAAGACATTTGTTCCCGAATGCAGTTCTGTCAGGTCGACCCAAGCCTGCCCCCTCTCACCATCAGCAAGCACGAGTGAGTCTGGCCTTCTGCCCCAAGCAGTGTGCCGGGCCGCACGGTCCAAGCCGAGGGCTCTCTGTTTCATTAGGGAGGGGACCGAGGGAGGCCTCCCACCACCTGAGCGGGAACCCTCAGCCAACTCTCGGTTATGCGGGGATTACACCTCTTGGAAATTTTTAGTTTCCCCACTTACCATCTGGCCAACCTCTCGAATTTTCGCAGACACCATTTGTTCCTGGAAAATGTGTAAGATGTTTTTTTAACACAGTCTGCCTTGATGCAGTGTCATGAGAAAAGCCCCGCCAGAGCGGGCGTCTCGAGCGCAGGTTTTAGAAGTATGGTTCAGGGTTCTGCCTGCCTGTTGTCTCCAGAAGCATGTGCGGTTGAGGATGGGGCTGCATTTCCCAGTCTTCACGTCGTCTTTTTCGCCTCTCGATTCAACATTTTGGAGCCATGGTTGCAGCTGCTTGGGGTGTCTTGTGCTGATGTTTGTCCTCTTTATTTCATTTATCTCCAGTACTTGCTCTCTGTCTAAACTCAAGGCATATTGGAATTTCAGGCTTTACAGTAACACTTGAAACTTACGCCCCTTCTTCTTATAACAAGGAAGAAGCCACTGGGGCTGTAGTGCCTGCCAGGGAGTACACAGAGCCCAGCCTCTCGTCCGCCTACTGCGTCCGTAGGACCATCTTGATTGGTGTGCTGGAAGCTGCCAGAGTGGCTTTCCATCTCCAGGGGACCTAGCAGGGACTGGGTCTTCCATTCTGCTGACACGGCAGCATCCCAGTGTGTGAGGCTGCATGTCAGCTTGTCTGCATTTAGCTCGTGGACGCATTCATTTTGGTGTGTGTATGCTGCTATGCGGCTTCTCTCATAACCTGGCTCTTGGCTTCACGTAGAGCAGTATTGGTCTTCACAGAATGTGCAGTGTCACCTGGGAGCATCCAGTGATCATGTTCCCAAAGCAGCAGGTGTAAGAAAATACCTGTCACATTCTGCAAAAAGAGCCAGCCAGTAACACAGTGGTGGTTAAACCAAGACTCCACTGGACAGGTTAGGCTTTGTTTCAGAGGATCTCTGCTCCAGAAACAAAGGCTAAGAGCATGCTTTGGGGGCTGGAGTGTGCATGGAGGCAGAGGCAGCATCGTGGCATCATCTGGCTTAGGGTCCCTGAGTGGTTGACAGGACTCCCAATACTTGATCTTCTCCCCTCTTCCCAGGAGAGGTAAATTATTGTCTTGCTTTTCGATCTCATTAGAGTATCTTTCCAGCTGTGCTCAGTCGCTTCAGTCATGTCCGACTCTTTGCGACCCCATGGACTGTAGCCCGCCAGGCTCCTCTGTCCATGGGATTCTCCAGGCAAGAGTACTGGAGTGGGTTGCCATGCCCTCCTCCCTTTCCAGCTGTACGGGAATAAAATAGTCAAGGAGAACACAAGGCTGTTGACAGTGAACTTGGACCAAGATGACTGAGTAAGCGGCATGTTAGACACAATGTTTAATGGGGTGGCAAGAGGAAGAGACCCTGCGCAGCCAGGTTGCTTCCCCATGCCGCTCCTGAGAGCCTGAGCCTGCGGGGCCTCTGTCAGAAGCACCCCGGATAGGGTGGGTGAAGCCCTCCTAACCCCTGTGCTCTCTGCTCTGTCCTCGCAGCGTGATCTTGTGGCTGGGGGACCTCAACTACAGGATAGAAGAGCCGGATGTGGAAAAAGTGAAAAAACTCATCGAAGAGAAGGCCTTTCAAACCCTGTATGCATATGACCAGGTACCAGCGGCCACCTGGGCCCTCTTCAGGCAGCTGCTGTTCCCCCTGCCCCCGCCCCACAGGAGGGCACAGAAAGCCTGGCTGCCCAGCTCCAGCCTCTTCTTCCTCATCTTGGGAGGGTTCCCTGAGGGGCTGGTGCCCATCATTCCTTCCTTTCCTCCATCTGTGTTCCCTCTCCTACAGCTGTCTGCCCCTGGTCCTTCCCTTGAGGTTTGTCTCTGCTGGAGGCAAGAGCTGTTCTCTTTCTCTCTGTCTTGTGTGTGCCCATTCATTCAGTCATTCAAGTTGGGGCCAAAAGGGAACCAAGCTTCTCATCAGGATGATATTAATGTTTGGTATATTTAAGATGATTTACTGATGTTTTGAATGGGCTACCCACGCCCCCTGCCCTTGCCCCTCGGCAGACCTGTGCTGTGTACAGGACCACTCTTTTTCTGAAGGGCTGTCTTCACTTCTGAAAAGAATCTGTTCTGTCTCCTGCTAGCCTCTACCATTGTTTGGGTTATCATATCTTTCTCAGAGCATTAGCTGTTTCCCAGGACAAGAGAAACCTGTTTCTCTCTGACCTTCTTCAGGGTACTCCTCTCAAGAGATTCTGAAACTGTTCAAGCAGTCAGAGTTGTTCAGGTTGTCACAGTCCTTTTTCTTTCTAGCCTGTATCACCCTTTTAATCATCTTCATATTGTTGTCAGTCTAAATCTTTCTGTTACCTTTATTTTTCTCCCAGTGAGATCAATTAAGGGGAAAAAAATCCCAAGTCCGTTATGTCTTTCTTTATAGAATAATCTCTTTAGTGACCCATTTTTTTCTCCCACTCCTTTCCTTGGTAAATTAGTCTCTTTGTTCCCCATTTCAGCATTATCCCTTGTCTCTCTTTTCTAGACTGCAGCATTCTCATTTCCCTGGGGGTTCAGTACCATCTCTTCTTCCCTTCTTTTCTGGTCTCTCCTTAAGTAATAGTACCCAGTTTGTGTGTTTCCCTGCTTTCCAAATGGTTTCAAGGTTTATGTCTACCCATTTTTTAAATTTATTTTTTACTATTCTTATTTTGGCTACACTTGGTCTTTGTTGTGGCTTCTGGGCTCCAGGGCATGCAGGTTCAGTAGTTGCCACGTGAGGGCTTAGTTGCTCCAAGGTATGTAGGATCTTCGTTCCCCCTACGAGGGGTCACAGCTAAGTCCCCTGTACTGGAAGGTAGATTCTCAGCCACCAGACCAGCAAGGAAGTCCTCATATTTACCCATTTAAGAGTCATCTTGGACTTCCCTGGTGGTCCAGGAGTTAAGACTCTGTGCTTCTGTTGTAGGGGCGTGGGTTCAATCCCTGGTCTGGGAAGTTCCGCATGCCATGCAGTGCATCCAGAAAAAAGCAAAAAGGAAAGAATCATCTTACACTATTTTAATTTCCTGTTGCTTTTTCCTTAATAGGTTTTTTTTTTTTATGAATTCCTATTTGGGGGTTTGTCAACTGTTGTCCCCTGGATAGTTGAGCCTTTCACCAAAGTTAGAGCTTACAGTTCTTCACCAGGACACACAGCACCACGTTTGGTGCTCCAGGGAGGGGGCAGGAACACCCATGGTTTTTCTCTCTTGCTGATAAGGGGCTCTTAGAACCATAGCAGTGGCAAGGAGGCCAGTTATTATCATGATGTGTCAGGCCCTGTTCTAAGCTGACAGCTTATCTTTGCAACAATCCCTGTGAGGCAGATTCTATTATAAATCCAGAATTTACAGATGGGGAAACCAAGGCATAGAGCTCCCTCCAGTTCATATAACTGATTTGACAAACCTCTTTAAAGAATTGTTTTAGTTTAAACGTAATTCATAATGGTTTGGTTATAGCTCTGCTATATATTTCTACATACTTGGAGGTACCCTTTTGCTTTTTGGATTGTATCTTTACAGACCTTTTTTTTTTTTTTGCTGTTTTATCCCTTTGTATATTGGAACAACTGTGCTACACAGATGATGTGTTTGTGATACCTGGAAGAGAAACTATATCCATTGGTACCTAACCCTCTTAGGGGCATCTCAGTACGATGCAGCTTAGGCCCCTCAGACGTGGATACAGTTTTATAAGAGCCTTAAAAATTGTACAGCAGGCAGAAGAATAGTCAGCATGCTCCTCTTCCTGGGAGTTAATTAACTCAAGGTCTTACAGAGTACCTTTCTTTCTGTTCTTTTTTTTTTTTTTTTTTGACAGTCTGTGCAGCATGGGGGGTCTGAGTTCCCCAACCAGGTATCAAACCCATATCCCTTGCAGTGGAAGCATGGAGTCCTAACCAGTGGACTACCAGAGCATTCCCACAGAATAGTTTTCTCATGGGCCTTTCCTTTGGGGTTAGGGTTTAGATTCCAGATTGATTTCTTTTCTTCTGCTAATTCAAGGTTTGACCTTTTTATGCTGAGATTTTTTTTTCTTTCTTCCATCCTTTGTGTAGCTGAGAGCTCAGGTGGCTGCGAAGGCCGTCTTCGAGGGCTTCAGTGAGGGCGAGCTCACGTTCCAGCCCACCTATAAGTATGATACTGGCTCCGATGACTGGGATACCAGGTAGGTCAGAGAAATAGAAACTCAGAAAGTTATGGAAGTACTTTCCCTCATGGACCTACAGAAGAAGATAGGATTCCTGTCACTTCTTCCTCAGGTCAGACATTTTCTCTCAGTATCTGTTCATTAAGCAGACTGCTTTCCTACACTTAAAAAAAAAAAAACGTATTTATTTGGCTGGTCTGGGTCTTCGTTACAGCATGCAGGATCTCTGTTGTGACAGACGAACTCTCTAGGTGTGGCTCGGGGCATAGTTGCCCTGCGAGGCATATACAGTCTGGTTCCCTGACCAGGGATCGAACCTGGGCGCCCCACATTGAGAGCCTGGAGCCTTAACCCCTGGGGACTCCCAGGAAAGTCCCCACAATAATTCTCGAGACTTGTTTCCCTTCCAGCTATGCGTAGGGTGCTGATTCCAACAGACTGAGCTTGTACTCGGTCATTACATGTAGTTCATATTTTTATTAGGGCCTATGGGATGCTCTTCAGTACTTAAATTTTCTCATGTAATCTTCTCAACAGCCCATTGAAGTAGGTATGATTTATTATCCTCATTTTATAGACTGGGGAACAAAAGCCCCCCACCCCCAAATTCGAGATCCTCCCAAGCAGGCAAGTGTCGTAGCAGGATTTGAAGCCAAGCAATAGGAATTCACAAGCTGTTTCAACGAGCATCTTTTGAGGCCCACAGCGTGCTTACCCTCAGATGGCTGTGACTCTGGCCTGATCCCCGTGGGAAGGTGGAGAGCAGAAATCATCCTGAACAGCATTTTGGCTTTGAGTGCTCGCAGCTGTTTGGGAGTGACAGCAGCAGGATACACGCTACCCCAGGCATCAGGCGCCGCTGTGCCTCGGAGGGCTTTCAGCGTGGGCTTTGCATTTCAGCGAGAAGTGTCGTGCTCCCGCCTGGTGTGACCGGGTCCTCTGGAAAGGGAAGAACATCACTCAGCTGAGCTACCAGAGCCACATGGCCCTGAAGACCAGCGACCACAAGCCCGTCAGCTCAGTGTTTGACATTGGGGTAGGTGGGCAGCTGGGCCCAACTTGCCATCATCCTCTAGGGAATTGGTCCCCACAGCTGAGACCACGTTTGTCTTTCTGGTCTCCTCCTCCCACCTTGAGCGAGAAGAAGCCCCTTTTAAAAATGGTTTTAATTTAAATTTAATTCATGACCGTTTTGTAGACTTCTACTTTATGTCTCTACATACATGGAAGTTCCCCTTTGCTCTTTGGACTGTTTCTTTCCAGACCTTTTTCTATGCAACTGTGTCAGTATTCTATATATAACACAGAGGAAGTTTCTCCCTTTTTGTAAAAGATATATATCACACCCATGGTTCTGAGAACATCATTCCCCCCCACTGGCTATATTTTAGGAGATCTTTTCATGTCGGTAAAGGTAGAGCTCCCTCCTCATTATGTTTAATGGCTGTAACATATTTTTCATAGTATGGATGAACCATGTTTGTACTGATCATTTAAGTTGTTTCCAAAGTGGTGCTATTATATACACTGCTCTAGTGACCAGCCCTCACATATATCTTTGTGTGTCAATGTGAACATTTCTGTAGAATGAAATTCCTAGAGTTGAAATTAGTGGTTCAGAGAAAAATGTATTCTATATTTATCTGAACCTACAAAATTGTCCTCCCAGCATCCTTGCCATTTTACTCTTCTGCCAACCATGGATAAAGTTCTTTTCCCACAGCCTGGCTAATACTGGGTTTTAGCAATCTTTTAAATTTCTACCAATCCAGTGAGCCAAATGAGAAAGATACTCCATTCTTTTAGATTATACTTCCTGGATTACTAGTGAAGCTGAACATCTTTTTTTGTTTTCTGTTTCTTTTTTTTTTTGGTCGAAGTATCGTTGACTTACAGTAAACATCATTTTTTACAAAAAACACCTTTTTATTTATGTATTCTCCACTTGTGTCTTCTCTTCAGTGACTTCTGTGTTTCTTTGTATATATATTATCAGTTCGCAAGGGTGCAGGCAGAGGTGCTTCAGCATCCACAAGGGTGTGGGTGGTTTGAAAAAAGCCTAATGAATATTATAACCAAGGTTTTATTTTTGGAAGATGACAAGAATTGTAATTCAAAATATAGAAGGGAAAGTCTGACAAAAGCCTCTTGGCTGATGGAGCATGGATTTAAAAAGCCTGTGAAATGCTTTGACTCGAAGCCCTAGAGAAGCTTCTGCCTGCCGGCCTGTCTGCAGCAGCAAGCATAGCAGAGACAGGCAGGGGCGTCTCTCTGTTCTGGGCTTTAGGCTCTGCAGAACTTCCCACCCAGCTTTCACTCCCGTATCTGTTTTCTGCTAATCGGGAGGCAAAGAGGCTTTGCCTCTGGGGGACCCTTGTACATCTATTGTTAATTGACTTCTTTGTTCATTAATTAAATCTGTTTAGTATTCACTTTCTGCGTTGCTATCAACTGCTATTTCCCAAGGCTGTGAATGTCCTCTAAAAGCAGCAGTCACTAGCCTTTTTGGCACCAGGGACTGGTTTCTTGAAAGACAGTTTTTCCATGGATAGGGAAGAGCGGGGGATGGCTTGGGGATGATTCAAACACATTACATTTACTGTGTACTTTATTTCTGTTATTATTACATCAGCTCCACCTCAGACTACCAGGCCTTAGATTCTGGAGACTGGGGACCCTCAAAAAGAGGAAGTGGGTAGAAACCAAGGCACTAAGTCTCTGCTGTTTCCCTTCCAGGTGAGGGTCATCAATGAAGAGCTGTATCGGAAAACTCTGGAGGAGATTGTTCGCTCCCTGGATAAGATGGAAAATGCCAATATCCCTTCCGTGTCCCTCTCTAGGCGAGAGGTAGAGAGGATGTGATAACACATCTGGCCCTTCTCTTCGCAGAACTAAATCTCACCTGCTAGGTCTCAGAATTCGAAGGGTCTCCTGTCAGGCTCCTGGACTCATAGTCTTCCGTGATCGGCTGCTTCTAGAGAAAGTGAGGCTGATGCTGCCAGCTGACAGGAGAGGCGGTGTTGGTTTAGATTTGGTTCACCTCTTGATCTTTTAAACCAAAAGCCTGTAACCTTTTGTGGTTCCTATATTTTACCCATACATGGGCCCTCTGTGAGTTAAATAAGTCACAGGATCCAAAATGTGTTTCATTTGATCTTAGTATAGCTGTGTGCATTCTTGCCCTGGGTTTGTCTTCCTCCTGATGCTTTGCTTTGAGATTGAGTCCAAAATGTGGGGTACCTATGAGGTGATGAGAGGGAAGGCAATATGGAAAAGTAACAGGCATTGGGAGAAGTCAATTTAGGGCTAAAGATTTTTCAGAGAAGTGCCACAGCATAGATCATTCAGAATTGACAGTACCAAAAGTCAATTAAATGAGGATTTATGGTGAGGGTATTTTTAATGCCCTAGATGTCCAGCTTCAGAGATGGAGGAGCTTCATTTTCACATTTGGGAGTGGAATGTGTGAAGGATATTTTGGGTATGGTCTTTGGGTACAGAAGATTTAAACTTGGATTCTGGTAGGGAATTTTCTGTGTTTTTTGAGTTTAGGCTTTCTGAAGTTAAACACTAACAACTGGTCTTTAGTAGTAGTAGCTGTGGTTTCCCAGGTAAATACTTAAAAGCAAAAGCTTGATTTGAAAGAGATGGTCCTTCGTTTTCTTCCCAGGAAGGGCAAGGATTGCCCAGTTGGGGTGGTTAGGCAGGTTGCCGAGGAGAGGGCACTAGTCTGACTGGTCCCTGGCTTGTCCCCAGTTCTGTTTTCAGAATGTGAAGTACATGCACCTGCAGGTAGAGTCCTTTACCATTCGGAATGGACAGGTGCCGTGCCAGTTTGAATTCATCAGCAAGCCTAACGAGGAGTCCTACTGTAAGCAGTGGCTGCGAGCCAGCCCCAGCCGAGGCTTCCTCTTGCCAGGTAAGGCCTCTGCCCCTGGCTTCCTGGTGGCTGCTTTGGGGAACACCCTACCCTGTCTTTTGCTCATTCTCCTAGAATAAACTTTTTGTTTCTGAACATTTTGCTGTTTGCTTGAAACTTTTTCAAAGCCCTGTGGCTGTTCAGTTCAGTTGCTCAGTCGTGTCCGACTCTTTGCGACCCCATGGGCTGCAGCACACCAGGCCTCCCTGTCCATCACCAACTCCTGGAGTTTATTCAGTCTCATGTCCGTTGAGTCTGTGATGCCATCCAACCAACTCATCCTCTGTCATCCCCTTCTCCTCCTGCCTTAAGTCTTTCTTAGCATCAGGGTCTTTTCCAATGAGTCTTCACATCAGGTGGCCAGAGTATTGGAGTTTCAGCTTTAGCATCAGTCCTTCCAATGAATATTCAGGACTGATCTCCTTTAGGATGGACTGTTTGGATCTCTTTGCTGTCCAAGGGACTCTCAAGATGGAGATCCATCCGTAGATAAAATGTAAAATAGTAAAGGGTGTGAGTTCAATGTCAAAAGTATTCTCAGTCATGTGGATGTTCTGTAATTTCACACAGAGAAAACACAAGTGTTCTGTGAAGCAGGTGTGGCTGTAACAAGAACCCTTTCACTTTCTGTCTCACTATAATCAACTCCCAATTGTCTGCTCTTGTGGCAAAGATAATAGGGTGGTCATCCAGAAATTATTGCTGGCCCGACCACCCGTATCACTCTCCTAGCTTCTCCTTGGCACTGTGTTGTGCTGTGAGGCAAAGGGGTTAGCCTGTTTTGTGGTCAGTTGACATGTCATATACAGAGGTGAGAGCTGGACTGTAAAGTCTGAGCGCTGAAGAATTGATGCTTTCAAATTGTGTTGCTGGAGAAGATTCTTGAGAGTCCTTTGAACAGTGAGGAGATCAAAACAGTCAATCCTAAAGGAAATCAATTCTTGAATATTCATCGGAAGGATTGATGCTGAAGCTGAAGCTCCAGTACTTTGGCCACCTGATGTGAAGAGCTGATTCCTTGGAAAAGACCCTGATGATGGGAAAGATTGAAAGCAAAAGAAGGAGATGGCAGAGGATGAGATGATTAGATAGCATCACCAACTCAAAGGACATGAATTTGAGCAAACCCTGGGAGATAGTGGAGGACAGAGGAGCCTGGTGTGCTGCAGTCTGCAGGGTCGCCAAGGGTCAGACACGATTTAGTGACTGAATAAAAGCAAGTGGATAGTTCACAGTCTAATAACATGTTATATTTTCTACTGGATCCACACCTTCTTATTAGTTGTTTCTAGCTTGAGCGTGAAGTAAAGTGAAATTGCTCAGTCGTGTCCGACTCTTTGCGACCCTATGGACTGTAGCCCGCCAGGCTCCTCTGTCCATGGGATTCTCCAGGCAAGAATACTGGACTGGGTTGCCGTTTCCTTCTCCAGAGGATCCTCCCGACCCAGGGATCGAACCCTGGTCTCTCACATTGCAGGCAGACGCTTTATCGTCCCAGCCACCAGGGACGCAGAACCTAGCTTGGGCAGTGCTACCGGGAACGTGGATTTAACAACAGCTCCCTAGTTTCTGTTCACTGTTTTCAGTTCCCCTTTGGACCGTAAACTCCTTGTTCACTTGTCTGTTGAGTATGCGCGTGTGTGCATGCTCAGTCTCTTCAGTCGTGTCCAACTCTTTGTGACTCAATGGACTGTAGCCTGCCAGGCTTTTCTGTCCGTGAGTTTCTCCAGGCAAGATACTGGAGTGGGTCGCCAAGCCCTCCTCCAGAGCAGTCTCTTGGTGCTGAGCATGTAGATTCTTGCTGGTTGGCTGATACCTCTTATTTCCTTCCCCTAACTGTATGCCCGACCCTCTGCCAGCCCGTCTTCTCTCCTCCTTTCCTCTTGACCTCCCGCCGACTAGCATTTCTTTTTACTTTTTTTTTTCAGATTCTGCCGTTGAGATTGAATTAGAGCTATTTGTAAATAAGACCACAGCTACAAAACTCAACTCGGGTGAAGACAAAATCGAGGACATTCTGGTTTTGCACTTGGACAGGGGAAAGGATTACTTCTTATCTGTGTCTGGGAACTACATGCCAAGCTGCTTCGGATCGCCCATTCACACGTTGTGCTACATGAAGGAGCCAATTTTGGACTTGCCGCTCGAAACCATTAGAGAGCTGGTGAGTTACCTGTCACAAGAAAACATCTAGAAGGATGTAATAGCCAAGCCAGTCAAATGAGAGGTCCTCATGCCTACCCTCCCAGGGGCCTGAGGATTCTCTAGCCTCCATAGAGTTTGCCTATGCTGTCAGATATATACTGCTGTTTATCAGACATCCTGACATTTTTTTGTGGTTTGAAACGGCAGCAAGTTATTGCTTCTCATGTGAGTTTCCAGTGTGGCTTTTTCTGGTCTCGCCCAGGCTCATTTTTGTGGTCCATGGCAGCTGTGCTGGCCAGAGGGTTCAAGGAGGCCTCCCTCTCTTTTTTTCTTTCTTTTTAAAAGGCTTTCTATTTGTTTATTTTGTTTTGGCTGTTCTGCGTCTTGGTTGCTGCATTGGCCTTTCTCTAGGTGTGAGCGGGGCCCACTCTCTAGCTTCGGTGCTCGGGCTCTAGGTCGTGCGGGCTTCAGTAGTTGCACGTAGGCTCTGTGATCGCCATTTTCAGGCTCAGAAGTTGTGGTTCCCAGGCTCCAGGTCCCGTTGTGGCGCATGGGCTCCGTGGCTCCACGGCATGGGGGATCCTCCTGGACCAGGGCTGGAAGCTGTGTCTCCTGCGTCGGCAGGTGGATTCTTTACCACTGAAGCCACCACGGATGCCCCTCCCTTGCTTTCTTGGTGTTGGCTGCTCACTGGGCCTCTCCCTCTCTGTGGGAGACTCTGGGCTCTTGTCATTCAGTAGGTTGGCCTGAGCGTCCCTCAGTAATGGCAAGAGTTTGAGCGCAGAAGCTGTAAGGCCCCCAGTGGCCCAGGCTCTAAAACTCACATGGTACCACTTCTGCCACATTTTATTGATCAGAACAAGTTGTGAGATCAACCCAGATTCTAGGGACGGGGAAAGACTGTACCTCTTGATGGGAAAACTGTGAAATGTTTTGCTGTGTTTTTCGATTCTTCATAATAATTATTAAATTCAGCCACAGATAGCAAGATAATGCATGTCCCTGCCCCATGATAGTTATTTCTTTTCCTGTTTTATTCCTCACTTTTTGTTTTGTTTTGTTTATTTTGTTGGCTGCACTGCATAGTCTGTAGGACCCTAGTTCCCCAACCAGGGACTGGACCTGGGCCCTCAACATTGAGAGCTCGGAGTCCCAGCCACTGGACCACCAGGGAATAATTCCCTGTTTTAATCATCACTTGGTTTATTATCCTAAAATAATTTTCTGAGATCTAAAAAGATTCACATGCAGACTTACAGATATTGAACACAACTTATGGTTACCAAAGGGGAAATGTGGAGAGAGAGAAATCAAGAGCTTGGGATTAACATGTACATACTTCTACATATAAGATGGATAACCAACAAGGACCTACTATATAGCACAGGGAAGTCTGCTCAATATTCTGTGATAACCTGTATGAGAAAAGGACCTGAAAAAGAATATATATATATGTATAACTGAAACATTTTGCTATATACCGGAAACAAACACAAAATTGTAAATCAACTATCAGTTCAGTTCAGTCACTCAGTCATGTCTAACTCTTTGCGATCCCATGGACTGCAGCATGCCAGGCTTCCCTGTCCATCACCAACTCCCGGAGCTTGCTCAAACTCATGTCCATCAAGTTGGTGATGTGATTCAACCATCTAGTCCTCTGTTGTCCCCTTCTCCTGCCTTCAGTCTTTCCCGGCATCAGGGTCTTTTCTAATGAGTCAGTTCTTTGCATCAGGTGGCCAAAGTATTGAAACTTCAGCTTTAGCATCAGTCCTTCCAATGAATATTCAGGGTTGATTTCCTTTAGGATAGACTGGTTGGATCTCCTTGCAGTCCAAGGAAATTTCAAGAGTTTTCTCCAACACCACAGTTCAAAAGCATCCATTCTTTGGTGCTCGTCTTAATCAACTATAGTCCAATAAAATTAAAAAACAAATAAAAAGTTCCTATGGAAATAATTCTAATACAGGGGCGCTAGTTTGGAACAGATTTTTGGCAATAGGTACGCTTTTCTTTTTCCTCCATTTCATTTTGTAATTTAGGGACTCTGGAACTCTATTCTCTCCATTTTATAGATGAAAACAAAGGTCTAATAAGGGGAGTGATTTTTGTCACGGGTATGTGTGGTGAGTTAACCTTGGACCTCAACCTTGCTTTTGGGTTTTGGGATTCCCAAGTCTGTGCTCTTTTTCCACCAGACCACACCCTCTCTCTGGTTCTGATAGTGAAAGTGCTACAGGCAGGATGTTTGTTTCTAAGATACTACATATTTCACCTGACTCATTGAAACTGCTTGCCATAAGCCACTCCCAGTTCTCAAGAGTCACTTTTCATACCTTGATCATGCCACCTGATTTCATTTTTGCCTGATGAGCATTTGCTTAGGGACATCAAAACACTTCCCTTCTTCCACGGGTTTGCTCTCCCTATATCCTGCCTTCTCCTGAAGCCGGCCTGGTGGAAGCTCCATTAGTGGACCTTCTGATCATGGTTTTTATTTCTCTTCAGACTCTGATGCAACTCCAGACTGAAGATAATGGGAGCCAATTGGAGAAACCCATGGACATCCCCAAGGAGCTCTGGATATTGGTTGATTACCTGTACCGAAATGCCATCCAGCAGGTAGGTGGTGCTGAGGTAGTCACACCTGACAGAGGCCATGCTGCCTTGAGAAAGAGCATCAGCCCCAAGAACTCTGGGCAGAAAACAGTTTTCCCCTGCAGAACCTGTGGAACGCTGCTCTTCCACTGGGGAGTGAAGGTTGACAGGTTCACACGCCACACCCCCATGGGGCCCTGCTATGACATACAGCACCCAATTCTTCCTAGGGGAAGCAGCCTCACCTGGGAGGGCTTTCCCAGCAGAGCATACTTCCTCCCCGGGCCTCTGGGGTCCTCCAGGTAGAAGGGCATCTGGAACCTTCTCAGAATGTCAGCCTGCTCTCCTTTGTGGGAACTCACGCCAGCTTCTAGGATGGGAGGGGCTCACTTGCTGACAAGCCAGATGGGCAGGGGGACCCGTGGAACCCTCAGGCCATGAGTCAGGAAGCCTGATTTCTAGAGTGGGTTGGGCAAGCTTCCTGCCATCAGATTTGTTAGTTTCACTGACTGGTTTGTCTGGGGCCCAGGGAGACCCACAGAAACTCTGATCTACTGCAACTCTGCCACTTCAGGGCAGTGTACATTCTTAGCATAGTCTCTGTCTGCTTTTCCCCTCAGATTTATTGAGCATTACAGTGTCCCAAACTCTGTTCTAAGTGTTTTGCAGCACAACCTCATTTAGTCCTCACAGTAGTTCTCAAATGAGGAAACAGATGCTCAGAAATATGAAATAATTTGGCCGGGGTCCCAGAGCTGACACATGGGCAGGATCGGGATTTGAACCCAGGGAACCAAAGAAGTCACCTTCTTAAGGACTGTGCTAGTCTACCTTCTCTATAGAGCTCCTTTCAGATGTAACTTCGGAGCAATGCATATAATATTATTACTGTTCACAATTATTGGGCATTGAGTCATTTTGTAAAACAATATAAGGGATCCTAGGGCTCATGGAAATACCTTTATTGCCATAATCTCATTTTCTCAAAGCACTGAGGAACCTTTTTAACTTTCTCCATCTTATAAATGATATATCTTCTTCAGTTTTTTTTTTTTTTCCTCTTTCTGGTTAATCCCTCTTAACACTGCAGGAACCATAGCTACTTTAAAGTTTTCCCTCCGGTCAGATCACCAGAGATTGAACTTGCACCCCCTGCAATGGAATCATGACATCCTAATCACTGGACTCCAGGGAATTCTCTCATAATAGATATATTATCGTGCTTAAGACCTGTTATGGGAGCATGACTGGGAAGGCCTGAGAGATGAATTAGCCACATCAACCTAGATCACATTGTCTACTAGGGTGATTCAAAAGCCTCAACATGCTCTCTCTTTCTGCACCCTGCTGGTGATTATGTTTCTAGGTCAGGAAATCATTGCTGCCTTTCTGAGAATAGAATTATTTTGTGATTCTCTTCCCTTTTTCAGGAAGATCTGTTTCAGCAGCCAGGCCTGAGGTCGGAATTTGATCATATCAGGGACTGTTTAGATACTGGGACGATTGATAACCTCTGTATCCTTTCAGATGTTCGTGTGCCTGTGTGTATATGTGTGTGTGCATATGAGTAAGAGAAGTGAGCAAAAGGAAGGGGTGATATTTTAAGGCTCAAAATCAGACATTGTGACCTCAGCTGGCATGTTTTTCTTATTTAAAGTTTGCATAGAGAAGACTTTACAACCTTAAGCAACCAATATGTCAGGAATTTAGGAGAGCCCAGCTAAGCTAACAGTTTGGCCCCTTCATGATGTCAGTCTGGCATCTGAGCGCTGAGCAGAGAGCCTGGCTGGGCACGCAGCACTCTGGCATGTGCTGGCTCCCAGGCCTTTTCCTAATGGCAGCAGCGTCATCTGTTCCTTAACGATGGGCCCAAAGCTGCTAGCAATCATTCCGTGGCTGAAGCCCTGCTGCTTTTCCTGGAGAGCCTGCCAGAGCCTGTCATCTGTTACAGCGCCTACCGCAACTGCTTGGAGTGTTCCAGCAACCTCACAGCAAGTAAACAGGTGAGGGCAAGCATGGAGCATCACCGTGTTCATGTTGTAACCCTGGGTCTCATGGGGCCTACAGGAACAAAGTGGCTACCATCCCCCAAATGCAATGTCTTAGAAACTCAACTCCAAGTCTTCCCAACGCCATTCTTCCTCTTATGTCCCTTTTCATCTTAATGGCATCACCATAATTCCACTGACTCAGCCCAGAAAACGGAGTCATTTCTTTCTCCTCCTCTTCTCACCTTCCACATGTACGATCCCGTTACTCTGTCACTCTTCTTCTTTCCTCCATTCTAGTTCCACTTTCCTTGGTTCAGAACCCTGCATTCATGCTCTGTTTCTACTAATTGGTTTTGTGTACTGCCATTAGATTTGGGGTTCAAAAGTTCTCATCAGGTCCACGTTCATCAGAAAGGCTCTCCATTGCCAAATAAGGATTTTCTTAAACCAGTATTTGGGACTTTTATGATCTCACCTAGTCATACACATAAGTAACCTGCCAGAGCAGAATAATCTAGAAAATATGCCAACAATACAGGTTCCTGAGCCTTACTCCACCTCCTCTGAATCAGAATCTCTTTTGAAATATATTTTGTGCAATAAATTGCTTCGCCACCAATTCTGAAATGCAGGCAGCCAGAGTACTTTTTGAATTCTAGCCTGATCAACCGTTCCAGGCTTCAGTTTAGTTCAGTCGCTCAGTCGTGTCCGACTCTTTGTGACCCCATGAATCACAGCACGCCATGCCTCCCTGTCCATCACAAACTCCCAAAGTTTTCTCAAACTTATGTCCATCGAGTCGGTGATGCCATCCAGCCATCTCATCTTCTGTCGTCCTCTTCTCCTCCTGCCTGCTTAGGGCCTGTTCAAACAGTAGTGCTCTTACCAAAACTGACTTCTCACAATGGGTTCTCTCTTCTTGTCTCACTATCTTGCCTTTTTCTACACTTTCTTTTGCCCTAAATGCTCTAGTCCCTACCTCTGCAAGTCCAATCTTCATTTATATTCAAGACCCAACTGAGATGTTTTTGACTTTTGAGAACATGCAGTTAGAAATTTGACCTCTGAAATCATGTAGCACTTGATCTTCTCTTTTGGCATCTGTGACGAGTGATCAGGGTTTTCTACACACAGTCTTTCTCATGTACCTGGATCATGTATACTCAATTCATGGAATATTACAGGCACTGGAGAAATGATTGAATGAACAAAAAGACAAATATCAATTCTCCCTCTCTCAGGTCATTACTACCCTTCCTGCGTGTCACAGAAATGTCTTCACCTATTTGATGGCGTTTTTGCAAGAATTGCTGAAAAATTCAGCAAAAAACCATTTGGATGATAATATTCTAGGTAAGCCAAGGATGTGTGGAAAGCACTCTGCAAACTGACTCATTACAAGAAGTGTGGTTGAGGAAGGTCCCAAGTCCACTGCAGTGGAACTAAAACCTCAAGCTCTGGGCAAAGTTTACCCTCAGATAGTTATTTTAAAGCAGAAACTATTGCCACGGGGGCACCCCTCCCCACTCTTTAGAACATGAGAATATGTAGTACTTCTGCTGAATTCTCTGTGTTTTCTGTTTTTCATGCAGCCAGCATATTTGGTAGCCTTCTGCTTCGAAACCCAGCTGGTCACCAAAAGCTTGAAATGGCAGAAAAGAAGAAGGCTCAAGAATTTGTTCACCAGTTCCTCACTCACCCCGAGCCTCTCTCTCTCCTCTCCTATTCTGCCTGAGGCAGCCAGTTGCAGCCCCACCTGTTTCAGCTCCAGAGCTGCCCTAAGAGGATATGAGCTCACAGGGACGCCGGAGTCGCAGCTGCCTGTTCCTGAGCCCAGACCGCCCTCTCCACCATGACCATCACACTCGTGCTACTGCGAGCTGTGAAGACACTGAGGGGAAATCCACCACAATAGAACTGACATGCAGCGTTCAACTTTAGTTTTTTAACAGATTTTTTTTTTTTTGTAATGTTTAAACAGCCATACTCCTTGTACTCAGCCTGCTTCCGAGGCATACGGTGCCTTCCCTGTAGCCTGGGCCGAGGCCCCCACGATCAGATATTTGAACAAACTTTGGAGTCCTGAAGGATGAGTGAGGATGCAGATACAAAGAATGTAAATGGAAGCTGCTGGATAAACAGGCCACACAACCTCTCCAGGTGCTTTCAGCGCTGTGTCCAAGGACATGGGTGTACACATATGTAAACCCTGCCCCGCTTCCCACTCATAAATATGGCTCAACAACTCTGGAACTGGCCACTCAGCCTCCAAGGGCAGTACAGTGGCTTGAAAATGAAAATGCTAAAGAAACTGGTGTCCTGGTGAAACAACTGTAGTTTACCAGACCAACAAATCCTCCCAACTGTATATAATGCATTCCCTCTATGTGTAATATATTTTAATGATAAATATATTTTTAACAGTGGTTGCTTGTTTTTATCTTTTTAGAGATGGCAGGTCTCAGCAGCTGGACATTTGTGGCTTAAGCACGGGCGACAGCTGGTCAGGGGCCAGAGATATTTGCCTGGCAGTCTGGTGATAACAACCACTATTTACATTTTTCAAGGAAGAGCCAGTACAGGCATGGCCCCAAACCCTTGACCCCTGACCTGATTTCTGAGGGTTGTCCCACTCTGAATATTCTAAGAGAAGTAGCTTATAGGGAAGACGGTTGTAGCTGATAAGACGTTCTGACAGCTAGATCTAAGAGGCATTTACAAGACTGAGGCAGAATGAAGGCACGTTGAAAACCGTTTCTTGGAACACCACCACTCCTTGGCAGTGTAGTGATTTAGATACGGGCAGGCTCTTTGACAATGTGAACGGTTAAAGAAAGGGAATGGCCAGTAGGTGGCGTTGCCTGGCCCGGGTGCGTGTCCGGAGGAAGCCGGCAGTCCTCTGGAGTGGAAAAACTTGGGAGACAACGGCCTGGGCAGGCGAGTGAGGAGGGAGAGCCTGTGAGAAGGGGAAGAGGTGGCGGCGACCTCTGGCCAGGCTTGGAATACTCCCCATTTCTGCCGTTTGGGTCCAGGCTTCCTTTCTGGAGCCCTCCTGGCCTACTAACTTTTTTTGGGCGAGGAGGGGAAGCTGGAGCTACAGGAGAAACGCGGGAATGCCACAACTTTCCAGGTTTCCCCCTTGCGGTCCCGGCCGGAATTCAGCGGCTAACTGGTCCTTCCCGTCGTGCTTGCGGCTGCCAAGGGGACGGCAGCGCAAACCCCGCTGAGGTTAGTGATTAGCGGGTCTGACCCCTCTTCGTCGCGTCTGGTGCGTCTAGAGCGGAGCTCCGAACCCGCGCAAGCAGAATACGAGGCAGGCTATCCACCGCGCGGGCGGAATTCGCGGCCCAGCGAGGTCTCTGCGGTGCCCGCCCCACCCCGCCCCTTTCGCGCTCGCCAATTGGAGGCTCGAGCGCAGCCCCCACACTGACTAAACCAACCAGAAGCTTCAATGGGAGGCGGAGCCCGTATCTTCTCTTTCCTCCGGAAAGCGGAAGCGGAAGTGACGTTCGGGGAAGGTGGGGGCAATCATGGTGCCGCTGGGGAGGGGAGAAGCTGCTGCCGCCGCCGCCGTTGCCGGGAACCGCGGAGGTAAAAGGCGAAACTAGACGCGGCCTGGGCTGGGGACTTCCCGGGAGGCACGGGACTTAGGCTTCCTTCTGAAGCATTTTCCAGTAGGGACCCCAGACCGGTTACCGTAGGGACCCCACCCCTCCTCCGTTTCCATGGGGATGAGTATCCAGCCCCCTCCCCTGTTTCCATGGAGATCCGGACCCTGCCCCTCTTCTCCCGGCTTGGAACCCCCCAGCCTGACTTCGGGTTTTTTCCTGTAGCCTTTGACGGGGGACTATCCCAGACAGGTTCCTTTTCCCAGTCTCGTCTTAAGGGTGCTCCGTTTGTACTCGTTTGCCACCCTCAAAGCTCCTGGTCTTGTTTGTTCCGGACAGTTGGTCTCCGCGTTGCCGCCTGTGGTGTTGGGGCAGCCCAGTGGGGCCCCCGGTGCTCTTATCTCTCCTCTCAGATGCAGCGAAATGTGCATCTACCGGGTTGCGTAAGCCAGGGCAAGGGGTCGGGCCGGTTCCTCCCGGATCAGATCCCCTGGCCTGTCTATGGTGACTACCACTGTGTCTAGCCGCCCTGCCGAGTAAAGGTTCACTTTCTGATCTGAAGCAGAAGAGAAAGATAAAATGCAAAACCAGACTGAAAACTAAAAGTGATGTACTAATTATTTGTAAATTCTCTATTCTGTTTGCCAAACCCGCGTTTGTGGAACTGGTGTGTTTGCAGGTAAAAGAAGAATCACTATTCCAGAACAGGAATACTTCAAGTCTGGCATTTTTCCCAAGAGAGTATATCCTTCCAAGAGGGTTTATCTGCAAGTCTTTCATTCATTTAACTGACATCTCCTGAACTCCTTATGCCTAGGGACGAAAATAAGACTCATCATTCCCTCATTTCAGAGAGCACCCTATAAAACTTAGCTTCTAGTGGAAACCAGATTGTTTTAGGAGATAAATAGATAAAGTGATCTCATTAGATATGCCTGATTAGGGGTCAGCTCCACTACCGGGAAACTGAAACATCTGTTCTGGGATGGAGAGAACAGATTCACCCTTGATTCCTTTGCTGTAGTCAGACATTGCGTTTTAACATACCTTGTGTCTTTTACTCTGCATAATAGTTTTGTGAGAACAGGAATTACCAGTCCCACCCTACGTAAGTGAAAAGTAAGGCACAGAAAGTTATCCAGGCAGTAAGTAGGAAAGCCAGGATTTGTGGCTAGGTGACCCTACCTTCAAAGTCCTGCTTCTTCCACCATAGACTCACTGCCTCACTGTTTCATTTGGAGTTTCCTTTCTTTAAGATTTATAACTACTCAACCCTGAAACAGTTTGTTCCTGTTTCCCCTTAAGTATTTTGACTAACCTTCACAGTGTTTGGCAGTAAGGCACATTTGAAAGGTCTTATGAGCTGCTACTTATTACTTCCATTTAAAATTTTTATTTTATTTATTTATTTAAAAAATTTCTCTGGCCGCACTAAGGGGCTTGTAGGATCTTAGTTCCCAGACCACAGATTGAACCTAGGCGCTCTGCAGTCCTAACCACTGGGAATTCCCATTACTTCCATTTTTTTTAAAAGGGCATTGTTTTTCCTTCAAAATGGCTTGATAGTTTTCAACTTAAAGAAAAAATTCCCAAAGAAGATGTTTTTCATTACTCTGGCCTGCTCTTATATGGCTTGGAAAAAAGAGTCTTGTGACTGCTGCGGAGGTGAGGTCCCTGGGTCCTGTGGTATGACTCTGACTCTGGCTTTGTTCTCTTGTAGACAGGTCACTACCTTTCCATTTCTCACAATTGGGCTGAGCACAACTGAACCATGGGGGACCACAGTCCAGACGACAGCATCAGCTACTTTGAGGTAGAGGAAGATGAGCTGACCCCCGATGACAAGATGCTCAGGTTTGTGGATAAGAACGGACTGGTGCCTTCCTCATCTGGAACTGTTTACGATAGGACAACTGTTCTTATCGAGCAGGACCCTGGCACTTTGGAGGATGAAGATGACGATGGACAGTGCGGAGAACACTTGCCTTTTCTAGTAGGGGGTGAAGAGGGCTTTCATCTAATAGATCATGAAGCAATGTCCCAGGGTTATGTGCAACACATTATCTCACCAGATCAGATCCATTTAACAATAAACCCTGGTTCCACGCCCATGCCAAGAAATATTGAAGGTGCAACTCTCACTCTGCAGTCGGAATGTCCAGAAACAAAACGTAAAGAAGTAAGTAAAGCAGTGGGTGAGGGCCCGGTTTGGCTGTGGGAAGGGTCCTTAAACCACACTAGATGGCAGTTTCAGCTGGGGAGTATCAGAGCCCCTGGAATTAGGACCTACAGTGGCTTTCCTTAACGGTGTATGCTTCATGTTTTATTGTGACTCTTTTCTGAAACTTTCAGTGTGTATGGCTGCGTTGAAATCTGGGAAAGCTAAACTGCTACTTTTCCAAATTTCCTCCTCAGATCATAAATAAAATAGACATTTCATGGAGGTAAATTCATGTCTCCGATGCGGAAATAACTGCGTTGTGTAAAAATGCTTTGTTTTGGAGAAATGAGTGTTTACTGGAGTGTGCTTTATTAGTGAACATGTAGTGGATAATAAAGGCTAGCTTTCTTTTGTAAGAAACTCAAGCAAGAGGCAGTATATCTAAAAGTTTTCATGCTCGTACTTAGATAGTGTGCATAAGATAACTCATTATTACAATGCTTTGAAAACGGTAAAGCATGATACAAAGTGGTGATAATTAGCAGAGTAAAAGATGTGGTTTAAAGGTAGTGATATACATTTTCCAGGAACTAATTGCAGGTCAACTCGAAGATCCCTGGTAGTTGCAATGCCGGGACTAACTGTCAGATGTTGCTAAACAGCCATCGGGTAAATCGTTTCGCAAAATATTTTTCTCTTTTACTGTAATTCAGGTCTTGAAACTGTAGAATTTGATTATTCGTGGCATATGGCTTTCCTTTGCTAGGCTTAGAATCTCAGAGCTGGAAGGGAGACCTAGTGAGACCATCGTGTCGTACCTCCCACCTCATGCAGGAATCTCTCTGGGCAACAGTTCCTCTGGTCTCTGCTTGAATACCTCCAGGATGATGAGAGCACAGTGTTCCACAGTTCAGCCTAATACAAAGTTTGTTGGCCAGCTCTGATTGTTAGAAAGCTTTGGCTTATATGAAGCCAAGAATCTGCCTTCCTGCAGCTGCTGCCCGCTGGTTCTAGATCGTCCTTTCTGAGCAGTGAGCTAAACCTTCCTTCCACGGAGGGCAACCCATCAAGGTAGTTAAAGGTCGTGGGTTTCTCTACATCTTCTCCACTGACTTTAATGTCCCTCTTATGACATCTTCCCCTAGTTTCTCATCATCCTGGTCACTTTTGATTGTATGAGTTCCAGTTTTCCAGAGTCCTTAAAATTTGTAATTGAACACAGTCTCACAAGTGCGAGTCAGCTGGCACCGAATACCGTGTGACTCTTATCTCTTCATCTGGACACTGTACTACAATTACTATATGGTCTGTATTTTATTAGCAATGACATCTTACTGTTAACTGACGCTTGAAAATCTCTAGACTGATATTTCTTAGCTGGGGATAGTTTTGTCCCCCAGGAGACATTTAGCAACATCTGAGGACATTTTTGGTTGTCACCTTGGGGAAATGTTACTGGAATCTATTGGGTAGAGTCCAAAGATCCTATTAAACATTCTAGTACACAGGACAGCCCCCTACAACAAATAATTAATTGTTTGGCCCCAAATGTCATTTAGCTGTATTCCAGTAAAATTTTACTTGCAGGAGGAAACAGGCATTGGGTTTCCTGGACTACCCCTAGACTAGAGCACAGGGAGCTGTAGAAGAGAATGATGAAAAGATAGCAGACATCCAGACGTGGAAGGCAGTGATAGCGTGCAGAGGGTCTGGACTGTGTTCTGGAAGTACACGAAGGTGTCTGAGCCAAGGAGTGATGTGTTAGAGTGGCATTTTAGAAATGTTGCTCTGGTAGCCTTGGCAGCTTGATTGCCCAGTTAGGAGATGGTTTCAGTTTAGTTTTGGGATTTCCTTTGAGTCTGATGAAGGTTAACGTGGAAAGAAGCCAGAGCTTTTGTTGAAGTTTAAGAGAATGGTTTATTATTGAAGTTTGGAGAATGAGTGGTAAATTGAGTCTGATTCAACGGATTTATCTGTTTTTCTAAGCTTGTTAAGTGTCTTCTATCTCTTAGCGCAGTGGCCACGCAGATGACTCATGGAGCTTCAGATCTCAGTAGTGAGTTAGGTAGTTCACGTCCACTGCGATAGGTACTTGGAGGCCTCTTCAGAGTGCTCTGTGCAGGCTGAGGGGAAAGCGGCTGACTCTCCTGTCCTCCTTGCCCTCCAGGAATGGTGATTCCATAACAGGAATCAAGAGGACAGGAAGAGGAGAATATTTGGTGGGGAAACTGGTGAACTGGTTGGAGTATATTCAATGTATAGTCCTTGGAGAAAAGTAAAGTGAACAAGTTGAGAAGCTGTCTGGAAATGTGGATTTGAGGTCAAGGAAGGGGTGTGGGATGAGAATTGTGGATCCATGAAGGTGCAGTAGTTCAAACTGTGGGCAGATAACCCAAGAGAGAAGAAGTGAGAATTGTTCTGAGAATTTAAGGGTTAGAAAGAGAAGGAGGAACCAGAGATCACATAGTCCCAGAGATGGCTAGAACACAATGTTGTGGAAGCTGAGGGAAGAGAGATTTAAGAAACATGAATATTCTTTTGTGACCCTGAAGAGGGATCGAGGGGCTGAAGATGAGCCATTAGTTCTGCTGTTTGTGCAATTGATCACCTCATGGGAACACGTTCACTGGAGGCTGAGGCCAGATTTCAAATGATGGAGAAATGAGTGGGAGGCAGGAAGCATCAAGTTTTCTCCCTCTCTTTTTTTTTTAATAGGGTAGTTGGAGGAAGAAAAGTGATGAGGCAGTAGTAAGTAAGGGGATTGGATCATTTTTTTAGCAGAGGAAATCTGAACATGGCTTAGGGCCTAAGCTTTGGGCCATCCTCAGTTAATGATTACTGTGTGAGAGTTTTTTCAAGAGCAGATGTTTGGGAAACATTTATGTTAAATCAAGACAGAGATTTGTTTATTAATATGAGATTTCTCAAGAGCCTTTGATAACAATAAGAAGGAAGGAAATGCAGAATTCTCCAAATATTTTGAACTTGGGAAACCATTTTTTCAGGTCTTATTTCCATGGTCAGTGTTTTGTGGAACACATTTTGGGAAATGCTGATCTAGGCATAAAAGGAGGAGATGGTAGGAAAGGGAGGATTATGCAACCAGTGATATGAGCTGTCACTTTTCCACTCCGAACTACTTGCAAGCTTGGTTTACCATTCATGTCTTTTGATCCTTGATAATTGTGTTGAATAAGACAAGTACCTTGTTCAGTCCCCCATGGATTTAGCTCACTGTACTTTCTTTTCCTCCCACCATGTTTTCCCATTCTATCCATGAGACCTACATGGAAAGTTCTAGAACCTTATTGAAATCATTAGGTGTGGGGTTGGTTGGGGATTGAGGGAGAAGCAGCAGTGGCTTTCAGCCTTTGAAAATTGTGCTAAATGACCAGACATTCAGTAGACTCACCTTCCTGGAGCACCATCATAACTGTAGCTTTTGTTGTAACAGTGGTGTTATTTTATTTCTTGGTCTTTAAATCCATTTAATTGGTATGAAGAGGCCAATGTTTATGACTCTCTGATAGCACTCTTCATGATTTCTTTACATTGCCCCTACTTCCACCTTTAAAAAAAAAACATGACAAAAAATTGTGGTCTTTTTCTCTATCTCTATACCCAGGTGTTACTCTTAAGAAATCAAATCATTGGATAGCTAAGTCTTCTTGGCTTCCTAAGCAGCTTATTTTCTGAGTCAGATTTTGGCTTGATTTTCTTGTTTACCTTAGATTGTTCCATTGTTTGCTATAGTGTGTGGTTGGCTTACCTATTACTTCATTTTTTTCTCCCTTGTGCTTGTTTTGTGCAAAAATAAACCAGCCAGAACCTTGCTACAGATCCTGACTTTTTCCACAGGGCCACTGATTTCCCATTCAAAGTGCACCTGTCTTATTCTTGTACTTGCTACTTTACTGTTGTCTGCCTATTGACTTGTTGTTTAGGTGCCAAGTTGTGTCTAACTCTGCAACCCCATGGATGGCAGCTTACCAGGCTTCCCTGTCCTTCACTGTCTCCTGGAGTTTGCTAAGACTTAAGTTCATCGAGTCAATGATTTAGAAACTTGAGAATCAAAACATTGTCACTCTAATCTGTCAGAATGAGAACCTGTCATTCTCAGGGTCAGCATTCTTAAGAATTGCTCCTTTAATACCCTTTTACTCCTGGTTTCTTAGCAGCTGTTTCCTTTCATCAGTTCATGCAGTCACTGGTTCCCCAAAGTTTTTTTACATCTGTGCCCTTCCCAAGACCTTTTCAGGACTGCCGGGTTACTTGTTCATCTTCCTCTGAACCATATCAGTGAATGTGTCTCCCCGCACCCCCAAACTGACCTTGCACTTCTCTAATGCATGGTTGGCCAAGAAGGGTGAAGAAACCCAGGAGTTACATACCAAATATGCTCTTTATGATGCACCAGAGTGTTCCAGAGCATTGATTGGGAGAAAATATATTTTTCTACCAAGAAGCACAGCTACAGGGATGCTTAATGAATTGGGTTGCTTGCTACATTGGTCAGTGACATTCCAAGTGATTTTTTTTTTTTTTTAAGTGTGACAAATTTTAAGATATAGAATAAGGGGGAAAATTTGACTCCAGTGTTCCAGAGCCTTTTTGCAATGTGCCCTTTACCTTGGGGACCCAGTTCCAATCTCATTGCTCATTATAAATCCCTTAGGCAATGTGAGGATCCTCTCAGGCGAACCAGGTTGTTGCTGACTCTGCGGAGGAGACCCGCCCACTTTTAGTCTTTGCACACAGTGATTATATTCCTTTACAGGTTCCCTTGTGAACTCTCACAGAATTGCCCTGCAGAACTAGGACAGAGACAGTTTCTGCTTGAAATGCTAGTGTTGAGGATCTGTTCATTCTTTCCATAAGCTTTTACTTATGGAGTATCATCAGCGTTTGTCACATATCAGGAAGGACAAAGAAATAATCCCTGCCCTGAGGGACTCTGGGCAGTCCGGAAGGAAGACCGCTGAGGCTGGAGGCGCGGGGTTCGGTAGGAAACCAGGGTT